GGGATCTGCGTTCCTGGAACGCCCTGTTCTGAGCGGGAATCACTTCTCTGCACCTTCTGTTGGCTGCCTGATTGTTATGGTAACTTGGGAATTTCTGCAATATCAAGTTAAAGCAAATAGGTCAAGTACTTTGTTCTTGAACAACACATATCAAATAGAAAAGTTACTGTAAACCTAATATTTCAACATTATAAACACAACAGCTCTGAATGAAAACTAATGAAAATACCAACTCCGTGGACCTTTGAAATGTTAAATATTTATGTCCCATGGTGCAAAGGAGAATGGTGTCTAGCTGAGTTTGAATTTCTACTGAAGAAGGGAAAAAAAATCAATGGACTCTTTAAATGCTATTTTTCATCTGTATTTTTTCCTTCTACACCATTATAAAAACAACTATAAAGTATTCCTTAGCTGTACTTAAAAATTATCTTAGCCTAATACGTATTCACTAATTTAAAATTACTTAATAGTGTAATGCAAATTTAATATAGCATTTTAAAATTATTTTTTAAAACTAAGAATGCAAGTTGAATATGTGGTGGGTTTTTTATTATTAAAACACTTAAAAACCTTTCATCCTATTCTCCATTTAGACACTTATATATTTATGTGCACAAATTGCTTTGAATTGTCAGGATTAAAACCTTTTTCTACTTGCAAGTTCTGCTAAAACCTTTTGTATTCATACGTAAACGGAAGACTTCTTGGCTGATATAAGAAATAGAATTAAGTTTCTAATTAGATTCCGTTGCTTGTTCAAGTCCAGTTTTCCAACATGGAAATGCTCTGGCTTAGGATTGTTTGGGGAGCTCGAGGGTAACTCCGTGCATCTCTTCCGCTGCAGCTTGAAGGAGCCGCCACTTCTGTACCCACAGCAGGGTGTGTAATACTTTATATGCACAGCGGCACCTCGGTTTTCGAACGTGTCCGTGGACGAACATTTCGGTTCATGAACACCCTAAACCTGGAAGTAAATGCTTCGGTTTTCGAACACCCCTCGGAAGTCGAACGGGCCAAGCGGCTTCCGCTGAGGGCAGGATCCTGAGGCCCCGCCGTCAGCTGTGGATCCCTCGGTTTTTGACCCTTTCAGAGCTTGAACGGTCTCCGGAGCGGACCACGTTCGATAACCGAGGCACCGCTGTAAGGCCACCCAGACGTGGCCCAGCTGGGAGGCTGAGGTCCCCCTGCACCCCAGGCCCCGCCGCGAGCGACGGGGGCTGCCCAAAGCCGCCGAGCTGGACGGCTCCCGGGGCTCACGGGACCCGGGCCGCTGGCGCAGGTTGGGGTCTGCAGCAGGGAAAGGGCGCCTCGAAGTCGGCGGGGGAGCGGGGGTCGCGTCCAGGAGGCGCACAGCCCAGAGCTGACCCGGGACGACAGGCAGGCGGCACCACCCTGGGCGGCCCCCGGGCCTGTGCCCAGAGTACTCACGGCGCCTGAGCTCGGACAGACGGACTGACAGGTCATCCAGGGGCTGGGGTCAGCTTCCAGACCAACCGCGGTTCCGCTGTGGCCGCCTGGCCTGGGCTGGTGGGCGTGGCTGGAACCGGGCTGGGCTGGTGGGCGTGGCCAGCGTCGTCCTTCCCCTGGTGGGCGTGGCCGACCCCGCCTGGGCTGGTGGGCGTGGCCGGGCCCCAGCCTGGGGATAGTAGGCGTGGCCAGTCTCATCCTTCAGCTGGTGGGTGTGGCTGG